AACGATATCTTCCTTTAAAGTTTATTGTCACTTCGGGGTTTTAATAATGATTTTTCTTTTGACATCCCGGAATCTTAAGAATTTTAATATTTATTTCACTGCAATTATTTGACATTTTTTTGGTACAATTTGTTCAAAATAATACTCAAAACAGAATGTTTATAAGTAGGGTTGTTCAAATAAGTATTTCCGATAATTTTACAGTGATAAAATGCTTATAGTATTAAAAAAAGTAACGAAATATTTCTTCTACCTTTTTTTTACAAGTATTTATTTTCAATTTACAAATTATGTTTTCTTTTTTTCTGCTTCCACGCTTTGCTATCTTCAAATTTTATTTAAGAATATTTTTGATCATAATATTTTTTAGAAAATATTTGAGATCAAAGAAAATTATTTTTTCAAATAGTTTCTTTTTAGATTTAAAAGAAACTTTTTTTTACAATTAAAAAATCAAATATAAATTATTGATGTTCCTCAAAGTCACAAATATTGAAATCTTTTTTTAATTTTTGTATTATTTTATAGAGCAGTTATTTTTTCCTTGTAGAATGCAGTTCCTTTATTGCTAACAAATTTAATTTTTTAATTTCATTAACAACTAATAAAAAACTGTACTTACTTAATTATTAATATACTACTATTTTATAAATAATTCGAATTTTTTTATTTTACTATTTATTTAACAATAGTAATGTAATGATAGCGTCAAATTAATTTTTTTAAAAGTCTTTGGTATACATGATATTTCGGCTGGTTATATTAATAAAAAATTAATAAAAAAATTTTCAAAGATATTTTGAACATATAATGTAATTAAAATTTAAATTATGATGTGCAATATTATTAAACATTCAAACTTGATTAAGTAAGATTAAATAATTTAATTTAGTTAATGATCTAAATGTATAATTGAATTAATTTAATTAATGAAAAGTTTGACTACTGAATATAGTTATAAAAAGTATTTCGTTTGCTCTTATGATTTCTTACAAATTACACAAGTCTATGACAAAAATTGTTTAAAAACCAATAGCTGATTCTGAAAAATTTACAGAAAAAAAGAAATTTTTTTTTTATCATGTACCATTTTTTCTCAAATTGAACATTTTGTATTCCATAGCCACCGCATTTTATTGCAAAGAAAGAGCTAAGCATTTAGTGTAAAATAATCACCACTACTGGCTAAAACTAGAGGTACAAAGTACTTTGAGTAGCAAATAAATAAAAACAAAATTTTAAGTAATACCACGCGTATACAATTTCATTTTTTGGTATTGTTTAGAAGGATTATAGTTCGATATTGCTCTTATTCACAAGAAGAAACATAAATGTCCTTATTTAAACAAATGAGGTATTGTTTCTAAAGTATTTTATTTCACTGAATTGAATAAAACTAATCCTAAATCAGTAGAACTAATAATTTAAATGTTATTAATGTGAATTTGATCCATTTGCGTACCTCTACATCGCTATCTAAGGCATTTTTTTTTTATGTATTATTTTACGCTGTCCAAGGAAAGCAAAGTTAAAGAGATTGAATATTTTAGAAGAAAGAGGGTTTTATGTATTAAATTTAAAACTTCTATTTAATACGCGTCTAAAAAAAGTCTTATAACTTTGATAAGGCTGATCAAGGGATAGAGCATTCGCCTCATAATGAGGAACCAGGTTCGAATCCCAGCGGTGACTGGTTGATACGAAGTCTGCTCTCGGCTAGTACCGACCACAGTGCTGGCATAAAAAATATCCTCAGTGTTTGACGGATCATGGGTCAGAATCCCCTTGCCAACGAGCTAACTGTGGGAGGTTTTCATGGTTTTCTTCTCAATGTAACACAAATGCGGGTTAGTTCAATTAAAAAGCTCCAAACGAATGAACTTAGCTTATCATAAAGCCAAAATTGGGTCGGCTGTTCAACGACGGTATTAAAATAAAATGATTCCTTTGCCGGTGGGCTAACCGTGAGAGTTTTTCGAGAACTTCCTTGCCATGTAACGCAAATGCTACTTAGTTCCATTAAAAAGTTCACCACGGAGGCCAGTTTGTACCTATGCTTGATTTAGGTTTGCCCGTGTCTGCTTGGTTGAGATTAAATTTACGAAGATTCAGAGTTAAACATTGATAGTCGTAAACTCAGAATTGGGTCGACTGTTCAACACCGGTAATAAACTAAAACTTTGTACCTATTAGTTCGACTCAATTAATTTGCCAACGATTACGAATTAAAAAAAAAACAACATAAATAAGCTAATACCTCATTTATCTATACAGCATCGTCAGACGTGTCAATGGGTAAAAATTCTAAATTATTCTTATTAATTGTACTTCTGATGCATAAAAACTTTTAAACTATTCTAATATTTCAAACTATTAATTGCTAATTTTTGTCCAATTCGAATTAGGGTATAGAAAAAAATACTTCCAATAGCAAAAATAGACTTTGGACGCTTAAATGGAACTGTACAATATAAAATGAGCTATACAAATCTGAACTTTTTAATAAAACCTTAATATCTTCTAAACTATTAGTCCTACAGACTTTTACATTCAAGACAGAGTTTTACATTCACTTTAACATAAAGATATAGATCAGACAATACTTCACTTGTCTATATAGCAATAATTTAAATTTCCCCCACTTCAGAATCTGTAAGATAACTGAAGACTAAGAAAATTAATACCGTAGTTGAAGTCAGCTCACCAAACAATATGAAGAGCAATCAATTGCAAACAAATTTTCATAACTCAAATTTTACAGGTCTGTATCATTTATTATTTTTCTTCCTTTTCCATTGCGCGAGCACAGACGATGACAGTTTGAAAAATAAAATAAAAAAACATAGGTATAAAATAATATTAATAAAAAAATTCTCAATATTTATTATATTTTAGCTGATCTAATATTTGATTGATTGATTGATTTGTTCATTTACGTCGCACTAGAGCTGCACAATGGGCTATTGGCGATTGTCTGGGAAACACCCCTGAGGATGATCCGAAGACATGCCATCACAATTTCGATCCTCTGCAGAGGGGATGGCACCTCCGCTTCGGTATCCCGACGACCTGCACGCGAAGTCGAGCACTTAACAGTAGAACAGTTTAACGAGGACCTATACCGCACATCCTTGGTCCCTACGCAGACTGATCCAAGTGGTCACCCACCCGCACACTGACCGCAGTCAGTGATGCTTGACTTCGGTGATCTGCTGGGAACCGTGTCATAACGATCAGTCCACTGCGGGACGATCTAATATTTAAAAGAACTAAAATAGTAGCAATAGTTATTTTAAAGTTGGGGCATGTGTATCAAATGTTTCAAGTGGCAAAAATTTTATCTTAATAAGTGGAATATTTCCTGAGCTATCAAATCTAAAAAAAATTATATTTATAAATTTCATTTATGAACTACTCGACACATTTCCTTCTAATTTTGATTAATCTTTAATGATAAAATTTAAATTATGTATTTTATCATTTAAATTTACATAATTTAAACTCAGTAAATATTTGCATATCTTTCAAATTAGAGCCTTTTTGACCATATTTAAGTGAAAAAAAAATGTTAAGTAAAAAAAGCAATAAAAGTAATTTCATGGATTTTACATGGCAAAACGTTTTCAATTCACTTAAAAAATCTTAGATAAGGCGATCTACGCAAACAATAAAATTAACATTAAGTCCAAATTTTCGACCAATTCCCTGCTTAAACTATTGGGACTATATTTTATAGATTACCAACCTCTATCTTTTTAGAGTCAAAAATCTAAAACCATCGGAAAAAAAAGTATTACAAAAAGGACATTTTTTATGTGTAATTTCGTAACTTAATTAAAAGTTAGTACTAAATATACTAAACAAATTTGAGAATAATTCTTTGAACCATCAAGATCGGCACTAACTATGTGAAAATCTGATCATTAGAGCAAAAGTTATTTAGGGTAATATACACATATATTTTTTTACCTCTGTACGATTTTGGAATAAAAGAATATCTCTAATTTTTTTAATGCACCGCCGTAGTTTAGTGATGTGTTCTGTTAGGGTAAAAAAATTTTATTTATATTTTAGTGTCTGAGTATGACAATAATATTGTGTAATCAAGTATAATTAGGGTTCATTTACATAATAATAAGGTTCAAAGCGCCCATATTAAAGTTACAGCAAATTTAAACGTTCTTGTTGTTCAACACGATCCAAAAATTTTTGACAGCGTAGAATATACTTTAGACAAAGACTTAGTGTTAAAAAGGAAGATTAACATTTTAAAATAAACTTACCAAAAAAACAAACCCAAAGATAAAAATGAAATCTATAAGTGTATAATTGGATAACTAAGAAAAGAAAAAATAAAGAATGGTCAAAAGTACCAGAATGGGGCAAAATCTACCGTGTTCCTCGTTTAATAAGAACACCAAAAACATCGATAATTTTTGTATTGGTATCGATGCGCCTTGGTAATAATTTTAGTGAAATTATTAAAGTATGGTTCACATAGAATATGATAAAAGTTGATTAATTTTGGTAATATAAACATGACACCTTAAAGCATGGCATAAAAACCATTTATTCAGCTAAATTTGCTTATAAGTTTTCTATTTTTTACTAAAAGTGTGTTAATAAGAACTATAATTTTGAAAACCAGAATTTTCGGTAAACCGTTACCATATAAACGGAAAAATAAAGAAAAAAATGGTTTAAATACCGTATATTTTGACTTTTAAATTCAGAATTATAGTTACCAATGCAGTACGGTAATTTTATTCGAATTTTTTCCTTCGAGTCTACGAAGTCTGTTCCTGTTATAATACTTTCTTCAGTTATAATACTTTCTTCTGTTATAATACTTTCTAGCTTTTAATTCAAGAGTTAAGTTATAAAATAAACTACGAAAAATATGAATCAATTAAATCATGACTTAAAAAGTGTGAATGGTTATAATGATCATTCTTATTCTTATCTGCTCTTCTGAATGTTAATATGCATTTTTTTTTCAGGGTTATTAATTCAAGACTCCAGTTAGAATTTCTTTGGTCGCACTTGAGCACACCCTGTCATTTCAAACATTCTTCTGTGAAATGAGGAATGAAGAAAAGTCATCAAAAATCTGACTTCAGCTACCAAGTCATCAAAAGTCACGAACGATAATTATATAGGGATTATTTCATCTTCCAGTTTAAATTCAAGAAGGACGAATTGATTGGCGAAAACTTTTTAAAAATTCTTTTGGCCATCATTAACAATCAGTTTTTTTTTTCCTTCGTGAATTTAGTTTTGAGCGATTCTTTGAAACTTAAATCTTAATTAACGAGCTGGCAATTGAGTTAAAGATAATATGACATTACTAAGTTTTCTTGTGCATTTCGAAATAAAAAATTATATTTTTTGATGAATAAAATAATGACGTTACGCTTAGAAAATCAAAAAAGCTCTTTATATTATTCTTCATTAAATGCAAGAATACTGTTTTTTGTATGTATTATACATTTATTAGAATTAGATTGTGTAGTAAAAAAGAATTGTTCTCAAAAATACAGAATTAATTTATTTTTTACAATTTTCGATACGTGACATTTAATATACAAAATAAAGATTTTTACTTAAAGAGTCTGTACAGTTTTTTTGCTGCTGTTACATTTTTGCATTTTATGAAGTAGAGAGTACTTATTCATAGAAATTAAATGTCATAAAATAAAAGTGTTTTGAATGCGCAGAAATTATTTTCTATAGTTAAAATAATTTTTCTATAACAATTTACGTTCAATTAATAAAATAATGAAAGCGACTTCATATAAGTCTGGAATGGGAAAATGTTAATAAACTTCTGAAAAAAAGAATTAAATTCTGAAATAGAATTCTAATGCAAGTTTACAAATAGAACGGCTGCAATCAGTGAGCGGAAGGGGAGGGGGGCACGGTTTGATTACCCTGCAAAGCGATCTGTGTGGTATTGGTTCTCGTTTAACTGTTGGACTGTAAAGTGATTGAAAGATCAAAATTGTAAAGGCATGTCTTCTCGGGGATGTTACCCAAGCGGTCGCCAATAGCTCCAGTAAATAAAGTAATTTTACTATTCAAAAATAGAACATTAATTTATCAAAAATGTATAATATAAATATATTTATTTTAATGAGCAGCATTAGCTTACTTTAGATACAAATAATTAATTATAAATTAGTGCTTGAATCTAATTAAATAATTAATAAACATCTAATTATTAAAATAATAAATATAATATCTTAAAGAAACAGGAAGGAATACAAATTTCTTTATATTTTTGAAATGGCAAACTCAGCATAAAATAAATTAGATTATAGAAACATGTTATTGTCTATGTTCGAAATCACTCTCTATGGTTTAATTAAGATTTATGGATTAATTTAAAATCTGAAATATTGATTTTGTGGAATTATATTTGTAATTAATTTTTTGTGTTTATAAAAAAATAATAGAAAGAGAAAAAGAATTTTAATATTCTTTATTATTTAAGATAAAGTGTAAATCGTTCAAAATTAAATAGCAAGCTGTTAACAACGCAAAGTTACACTAAATTTGCCCATTTAGAATCGTCTGCGACATCGAATACAACTTGCTAATAAATTTTATTGTCCACTGCAAAATGTTATTTCTACATTTTTAATTAGACCAGAACAGCTAATCTGAACTTCTATTGTTGGTTTATCATGTACTAAGTGAATTAAAAAGAAAAACAACGAACTTACTTGCAAACGTCAGTAGAATGAAGAATTTTATTTATATTCAGTGTGCATTTGTAAACTGATATTTTCATTCGATTTATTTATAGAATAACATACATATGCAGACTTGTATGCTCATCGCAAAGCACGGCTTATAAATTCTTCTCGGTTGACGAACAGATAGCACTATTTTAAGAACATCTAAGTGTTAAGGTTACAAACTGAAGTCGTAGAGAGAGACTCTAAAAAAGGCCTAGCAATCAAGGCTGAACTTGATCAGTTAACAAACTGAATAAAAAGCATTCCCGCAGTAGTCGGTTGTGCTCTAGGGGATACATGGAGGATAAGGGTTCACAGTTTCATGATCAACGGCATAATTGCAGTAAATAGTCAGCATTGCGCTTAGGCCGCGTTTGCTTCCCAGACAAGCTGGTACCAATCGATCGGAAGTCGGGTGTGCTTGAAGTCGCCATTGGGGTTCAAAATCAGTTTTTTACAAGGACATTGCAGCACAATAAAGTGAAAAATATCAATTTTTAGTTTTTAAAAAAGAGAGACAAATTAATTTGCAAAAACGTACTTTAAGACATGGGTGGAGATGCTATACATGCTGTTAAATCATTTTTTTTTTAAATTTTCTTAATCGACAATTACTCTATATGTTATATAGGCTACCTTACGAAACATGTAAAATAGTACAAAGTTATCACAAAGTAAAAAAGGCGTTATTATAGAAATTCTAGAAAATATTTTTGTCTTAATTACATCCCTACAATTCTGCAATCATCATTTTTTGAAAGATAATTTAGTGATATTTTTTTTTCCAATGCCCACCTGTGTCAACATCCGTCAATTCAGGTATATACAGGGCGATTTTGTTGGTCTCTCTTTCAGGGGCAACATATTAGGTGGGCCAACGTCGCTCCCACAGTGAGGGCAGATAGAACAGAGAAGGAAAGAACATCCATGTCTTGCCCGGGATTCGAACCTAGAACCTTTCTGATGCAAGGACAGTTCCCTCTCCCCTACACAGGCCTGTCGGCATTTAGTGGTATTAAGTTACTTGATTTTAGATTTATGTTGTTGTTGTTGTAGTTCATTTACGTCGCACTAGAGCTGCACAATGGGCTATTGGCGACTGTCTGAGAAACATCCCTGAGGATGATCCGAAGACATGCCATCACAATTTTGATCCTCTGCAGAGGAGATGGCACTTCCGCTTCGGTAGCCCGACTACCTGCACGCGAAATCGAGCACTTTACGGTAGAACAGTTTAACGAGGATCAATACCGCACATCCTTGGTCCCTACACAGACTGATCCAAGTGGTCACCCACCCGCACACTGTTGGCAGGCAGAGATGCTTGACTTCGGTGATCTGTTGGGAACCGTGTCTTAACGATCAGTTCACTGCGGGACTTAGATTTATGTAATCATATAGATTTGTAGGCTTGGGAGCATAGCCCTCAAAAACCACTATCAAACTGTAGAACAGATATCACAGATTAGAGAAGTGCAGCCCAAAAGTACATCCTAGGTGAAAGGAGGGATTCGAACCTGCAACTTTCATGTTTTAAAATGTTTGGTGCAGGAATACTCCTAGGTCACGTATTTTTTGATTTATTACAAATGTAGTTGTAGTTCATTTACGTCGCACTAGAGCTGCACAATGGGATATTGGCGATGGTCTGGGAAACATCCCTGAAGATGATCCGAAGACATACCATCACAATTTTGATCCTCTGCAGAGCGGATGGCTCCCCTGCTTTGGTAGCCCAACGGCCTGTACGCGAAGTCGACCACTTTAACAAGTATCAATGCCGCACACTCTCGCTCCCTAAGCAGATTGATTCAAGGGGTCAGTCACCCACACGCTGACTGCAGTCAGTGATGCTTGACTTCGGTGATCTGCTGGGAACCGTGACTTAACGATCAGTCCACTGCGGGACATTTATGCCAAATGATACTGATTACAGTCAATGCTTATACAGTGCTTATTCATAATTCCCTCCGGGGTTTCGAAGCGTTATAGTAAAAAACGAAGACGAATATGGCAAAAAAGAACACATGAAATTATTCCGAAAGTAATCAAGTTTTAATTTAAGCAGTTGCCGGTAGATGGCAGTAACATGAACCACTGAAGCCCGTTTTAATAAAGAAAACTGGCGTTTACAGGCGGAGGGAATTATGAATAACACTGTATTTAGGATAGGAACTTGTAAAATATTATGTTTAATCTAATAACGTAAAACCATCAGCTGGAGCAGTGTTTCCCAAAGTGTGGTACGCGTACCCCCAGGGGTACGTGAACCGTTTAGCAGGGGTACGCGTTCTTATGCTAATTATCTTGCAACAAACGAAAATTTCAAAAAATTTATTTAAAAACAAAGCTAGCCATACAAATTTACGATTACGTATCTCTCTCTCGGCTATTTTTTGCAGAGTTAATAGTTAATAATTAGTGGTGTCAATAGCCAGGTGTAATTTTTAACTTTTGTACAATTTTTTATAGTGAAAAATACTTTCATTTTCTTTTTAGTGGTACACAGCGTTACAAAAAACTTAGAAAGGGTACACAAAAGTCGTAAGTTTGGGAAACACTGAGCTAGAGCAATGATCAAAAAACAGGGGTAAATTTTCAGCGTTATTGTGCTGAGGTTCGTATGCAGTTTTGTGTATGACACTGTAGTGTTGATTAGAACTGTTGTGTCGTTTGTTGAAATCCAATTCTGAACTTTCCTTGAGTGCTTGATTCATGTTAAAATTAATATAAACATAACATCTGAAAAATTAACCGAGACAATATCAATTCGAATCTTATAATTTACACCATGTTATTCTCAAATAATTTTTCTCTTATTCTGATAATGAGAATTATCTTTTGAAATATTCATAGACATAAAATAGTATAAGAGGGCAATTTAAAAATCGTTGAGAATCAAATTCAGTTATTACATAATATTACACCATTTGATAAATTTTTAATGCTAAATGAGTGCCTTTTCGAAAGTACCCTTTCGAAAGACGTACTTCCTCTCAGAAAAGTACCCTTTTCTGAGAGGTAGTATCCTACTCGTTTTTTTTTTTTTAAATTCCCGACGAGAACTCTCAATATTTGATTATCTGGTTGCGCTCAATATTTGATTTCTTAATTTTTAGTGCAAAACTATAGAAAAGTTTTTTTTTAAAAATTACTTTATTTAGAATTTAATATTACCTGGTTAAGCATGTTATTTTTAGCTTGCATTGATATACAATCACAAATAAATTGATCAGAGCAGGTATGGCTTAGGGCAGTGGTGACAAATATAAAAAGCCAAAATTTTAATTTACCCACTAAGTTACAGATTTATTGACGAGAAAAAGAATTTTTGAAATTTGATGGGGGATCGATAACTAACAAATAACCACTAATGCTAGATATGTTTACAACAAAATAAAAATTGATATTTTGTTTTTTAAGTATCTATACTTTTTGTGCTATAAGCATTCATAAAAGTGTAGATTCAAAAAAAAAAGAATATAAAATATTTTTTTTCTTTCTATGTTTTTATGAGTAATACAAATATAAAATTCCCTCCCCCTCCACAGCAACACATCTAAATATCTATTCTAAGAAATTTTCTTCTTTCTCAAGCTCTCATTCTTTTTATATTTTTTTAAGAAATAAAAAATTAGGTTTCATACTGAATTATATTTAACTTTGAATACTTTTTATTGCTGTGAATATTATATTGATTTGAGTGATTTTAATTTCAAAATTTTATGCCAGAGTTGGAAATAACTTATTGGAATTGTTTAAGAAGCTATTTTGCAAATTCGCCATGTATAAGCAAGACCTTTCAGCCAGCATATAGGGATGAGGTTTTCTTATTAAAATGTAAACATTAAAGAAAGCAATGGAGCATGGGAAATAAAAATATGGTGGTTGGTCCTCTGTTCAACTGCATCTACATATAAGAGTTGTTCACTGAGAAATTATTAAAAATCATTTACTTTTTATTTTATCAAAACTTTACTTCACCAAAAAATTAAAATACGAGGGCAACTATTTTCAAATACTTTTTTAATGTACAAATTTACAAGAAACTGCAGGCTTGCAGGTGTAATAATATAAAATGGTTAGCTCACTTAGACAATTTATAGATGAGAGAAATATATAAAACTTATAAGTTTCAACAATTTATAACTAACAGTTAATATTACATACTGTTTCAAAAACGCATCTCATTCACTGATAATAAGATGGCCTATAAGGCGGTTCTGAAGGTCCTCTAGGAGGCATGTGTCCAACACTAGGATTTTGAGCTGGAGGAGGTGCAGCTATAGGTCTCGGAGGAAGAGCAGTTCGGGTTGGTGGTGGAGGTACACCACTTGGAGGCCACTGCTGCATATATGAAGGAGTTTCTTCATATCCACCAGATGATGGTGGAAAACGCTGGGGAGGAGGCACGGGATGAGGTACATGAGTAGGACCACGAGGAGGAGTATAAGTAGCAGGAGGTGGATGATGCACAACAGGAGGAGGTGTTGAGTATATTGGACCACCTGGTGGAGCATGTGGATGGTTAATTGGAGGTTGGTGATGAACTGGGGGAGGAGGTTGGCTAAAAGCCTGGGTAGTAATGGGTGGTGCTTGGGAATACGTAGGAGCAGTACCTGGATGAGGATGCTGATAAGCATGTGGTGGATAAGTTGCTGGCGGGTGTTGTAGTGGAGGTAAAGGATGAGTCGGTGTGACACCAGCAGAATATTGGGGTGCATGTGGTTGCGGATGAAGGTGTGAAGCTACAGGCGGCACATGATTTGCTCCATCATCTTGAATGGGAACCGTTATCAAATTAGGTCTTGCACTACTGACAGGTATAGTACTGGCATAATTAGCAGGAGAATGAGGGTATTGACGAGACTGTCCAACTGGGCTTCCCAAAGGAATATTAGTATTTCTTGTGTGGTCCACAGGATCCCTGTGTTCTTGAGGATGTTGAATGTGACCACCAACAATAACTGACTGGTGTGAAACATCAACTTGTAAATGAGCTCTTGGATCACGTGGATCCCTAGTCAAAGGAACATGACTAGCGCCAACAGTAGAAACAGGCGGAGGATGTGTAGTGGAGGAGGATGAAGTTGTTTTTAAATGTCGATGATTAACATGAGCCTAAAGATAGTAAGGAATAAGTAAACTTTTAAAACTTTTAACTTTACAGTTTCTTATATATATCTAAATTAGAATTGCTCATTATGTAATTAAAATACAAAAAAGCAGGAACTATTTAAAGTAATTAGATATTGATTAAATGTTTTTGTTAGGATTAGATTCGTAAAGGATTATGAAAGGATCTGAATTTTTTTTCAAAGATCATTTTCTAGACACAAAAGTTCTTGGTAAAAGAAAATTAATAAAAATAATATTTTAAAATGAAGTAAAAATAATACTTTAACAGCATTTATACTTTAGATTTAAAAAATCATCAACATTTGGTACTCCACGAACACCCATGAAATAATAATAATATAAAAAATGCCACTTCAAAACTTAAAATTTTTATATTTTCATTATTTGGATATATTATTTTATAAATTAAATACGCATATTGTACAATGTAATTTGAATGATTTAGTACTTATACATTAGTTCAAACACCATATTAAAGTACTCAGATAACAAAAAAAAAAAAAAAAAAAAACTTAAAAGAGTTATATGTTTACTTTTAAATTTAACTATTATTTTTAATAATGAAAATATAAGCTATAATTAATCAAATTCATCATACACTAATAATTGGTGATTAGAAGAAAAGGGATTTAAGTATTTCATACTTGCAGATCTCTTTGACTGAGGTAAGTTCTCCCACAAGCACCAGGTACATGCCGAGAACCTCCATATGTACACATGAAAACAGTACCTAAAATACTCTGTTCAATTCTTTGAACATTCATATCACACCTGAAACAGTCAGACACAATTAAATAACCAAGAATATTAATAATGACATATATTTAACAAAATACATATTGACAATACTTACTTTGGACAAACCTTTTCCAGTTTTTTAGCACAATCAAAGCATAAAACATGTTTGCAAGGAATCTAAAAAAAAGATAGATATTAAAATAATAAAAACTCTTAGTAAAGCATAGATAAACAAAAGTACCACAAACATTTCCCACTCACCCTCTAAAATATCTTTTTCATTAAAAATGTTAATAATCACGTTAAGTTGAATTTTTTTAGGAATAATTAAGAAACTATACAAAGACAAACACTCAATTTGAAATAAAGAATAAATTAAAAATGAAATTTCTTTTTAAATGTCATAGAGATATCAAGATGGATGGTATTAATTTTTCTTTTATACAGTTAATAATACACAATTAAAATGTTTGTGAAAAAGATTACTTAAACTTCCTACTACTTTTTAAATGATAAAGAATGAGCACTTCTGCAGTAACAATAACTTACTCCTAAAAATGTCACATGATTTTGGTTTACAAAATTAAAAAAAAAAGAAGCTCAATTAATGGAGTCACAATTAGTAAAGTATAAATTTCCATATAGGTTTACTGAAAAAAAAATGTAATTGGGGGAAAAATACATTTTAAGAAGGGAGGAGAGTTATCCAATAAGAGAAGTAGACTTTCTTTTTGCTTAAAGAAAAATTAATAATGCTAAAATTAATATTAGCTAAAAAAAAAAAGAAAAAAAAAAGAAATACCATTAGAAATTTATAAAAAAAGTTTATCCCCAGATTTCCCCCAAAACATTTTCAAAATATTATTAGCTTGAAACTAGAATTATTGCATTTATTTATAACAACTATATTTGCAATATTAAACACTAAATGAAAAAAGAACCACAATTTTATATATTTAAATAACAAAAAGTCTGCATGTTTTAAAAGTTAAAAAAGAGAAAAGAGGATTAATACTGATTGTTTAAGGATTATTACACAACAGATGTCACCATTTAAAATTGATTATTAGAAAGAATTTTTACATGAATGAATTGTAAATTTTAAAAAAAATTTATTAGATAATTTCATTTTATATAGTAAAAAAGAAATAGCTTTCAAAATATGTTTTTAAAACTTAACATTAAAAAGTAACATTTATATGAATGATTCAACTTCTTAAAAGGATGTTAATTGTTACATTTTCACATAATCATTCTAATGTGTCATATCTGTTAATTATTCTTTATTATAACATGATTTTAATACAAATTTTGGGAAATTTTTTTTTTATACTTAGTTAAACAAAGATATCTACACTAAATTAGAATAAAAACTATACATTACCATCCGGCCATAATTTAGAATAGGCAATGAACATTTTTCACAGCAATGAATTAGGGGGTCTATTACTTTTTCCCCAATCAGATTTACCTACAAAATAATTTTTAACAAGAATAAGTCATTTTTTTTTTTTTTTTACAATTACAAATCTAAATAGTTCTAGAATTCAAAATTCCATACTTTGTGATCCCATCTTAATTTTTGGTTTTGGTGCAAAGGTTCAGGAAATGAACGATCCATGGGACTGAAGGCTGGGGTTTTATCAAGCTTAGAAATAACTTCATCAAGGTTTGTATCTGTAACTAAAATATACATATATATATTAGAATTGTTTACAATATATACAATTGTTGTCAAATATTCTACAATTGTCTCTAAAATTATATGCATGGGGGATAAAATTGTCCCCTTGAAATATGTTTGGTTACAAAATAATAAAGAAAAATAGTTTCCTCGCATCAAATTTTATGTGTTAAAAAAAATTTTTTTTTGGTACTAATTTGACTGTTCCACACATTGTTTAGGCTTTAGTTTAGTTAGATCTCAAAAGGAATAATTGAAAGTGTCTGGTACAGAAATGTTTACATGATGGAATTTCAAATTTACATGTTGAGCTGAGCTTTGCATTTATGTACTGGCAGTATAATTGTTCATCAATAAATTTTCACTCTTTTAGAATTGTCTTTTAAAATTTCATAATCTTTAGAAATCTAATTTTAATATAATATTTTGTAAGTCTATGTTCTACTATGTTTTTCTCATTTATTTGATCTTAGCATTTTAAACAATATATGGAATTCACTTACTAATATTATTTTAGCTTTTCTTCATTTAATTTTAATCTTCAACCATTACGGGATAAAGAACATAATTAGTTTTCTTGCATAATAAAAGGCAATTTATAATTTTTTATGCATATCATAACATGAATTAGGCAATTGTGAAGTTTGATTATTTTTCTCATACAGGTTATCTGCTACATTTTAGATTTTCAAATTCATGACTTTCCATTTGAATTTTTCGTGACTTACAGAAGTTACTATTTTCTCCGACAAAAACACAACAAAAAATTTAAAAAAGCGTTACAATAACACTAATTGGCACAACCAAAACTGTTATACTCTGCATCTTTATATTTATTGATTTCAAACTTAAAAAACAAGAAAGAGTTGAAGTAATTAAAGTAGCTAAAAAGATACAAAAGTAAGTAACTAAATACAGTCAGATATATGTAGTTATTTAAACCTGTTTTATTAATTCTTAAAAGTGTAATATAAAAAGCCTAAACTTAGAATTTTAAATTGATTAAATAAAAATAATAAAGAGATAAAAAAATTCTGGAATCACAGAAGTTTAACAGATAATTTGCTCCAGAAATGATGTTCTTCTTTCTCTCATCTTTTGAAAGAACACCATAATTTTTAAAGAACAGGATAAAAACATTTTAAAATTTAATAAAATATGATTATGAGAGGGTATTTTGTTACAAATTCAGATATTCGGAGCACTGTGAAATAAGGGAGGGGGTGGGGGGAACTTTTAAAAATTAGATTTTTTGACAACCAAAATCCCTGATTTTTTAAAAAAAAAAAAAAAAAAGTTAAAATCATGACAAATTTCGCCCCATACCGAAATACATGACTTTCCAGGTGCGCAGATACTCTGTCAAGTATGTAAGCCATATAAAACTTTTGCAGCACTAAATGAATATCTAGGTGGTTTTATTAGACTATTAAATTTTCATTACCCATGTCAACCCTAATCATCTAGTTCAAATTCAACATTAACCTCTTTATCACAACGGCTCACATATGTGGACCTTCGCTTATTAGCATCGAAAAATATGCTATAACAAATTTATAATACAGTACAGAACCCGTTATCCGGAAATCAGGAAACCGGAACGAAATTCGATAAATTTTCCCGCCATTTTCAAAACAAAAAAACATATTTTTCCTCATAAGATTTTAGGATTTTTCTTTCTATTTTGAAAGATGTTTACCTTACCATCATTTTGGAAATAATCATTAGTGTATTACTTCGTTTTTTCTTCGTTTTAAGATTATTTCCAGTTTCTTTTTTTTTAGTTGGGCTTAACAATAAAAAAAACGGCTTTTTGTAGTGATTCAGAAAACCGGAAAAATCAGTTATCCGGAATAGCGATGGTCCCGATCGTTCCGGATAATTGGTCCCCTACTGTATTACCATTACTGAAAAGAAAAATTTGTGGACATTTATCCTAAGTCATGCGAAAAACGTAAACTATTTGGGTAGAATTCTAAATAAACAGATTTTTGAAAAATGACAAAATCCATCTGCTCTCAAAAAAAAAAAATTTTTTAATTTTAAATATTATATAATTTAGTTATTCTGGGAAGAATTTTTTTTCTTTTGGCTTAGCAGTTATGAGTAGGAAGTTTTTAAATTTACATTAATTTATTATTTAAAAACAATGCAGTTAAGAACATGTAGGTCCACGTTTGTGCACCTTGATATCGTATAGCGAAAATTACGACATAGTAGCAAAGAGAAATCTCATAGTATTATGAAATCTATGTAAGATATATCTATTTAGAGACACTACAATGATTTAATAATATTTTTATGTGTATTTTAGTTAATTGTTTTAGATTAAAGTACATACATTTAATAACTCTTAACTTTTCATATACTTTTTTCAATAAATTTAAAATCTTACCCGCGAGAATTAAATATTTTTTTTTAATTTTAGATTTTTTTTCAATAATTATTTATTTTGCATTGCATAATTAAAACAGTTTTGAAACTGATTTTTAAAGCAGTATTGCAACGTGCTTAGAAAAATTTTAGTTTTTCTTCTTCTCTTAAATAATTTTTAAATCTATTCGTCTATTTAATTATACAATTAAATAGACCATTACATAACAATATGCATGTTCATTCCTACTTTAGGTGTGACATAACATTTAAAATAATTATATTCTTTTACTTAATTCAGACCTGAGGTCCAAGTATGTGTATACCAAAAATTATTAGAACGTAGGTAGCATAATTCTTATTTTCTTTATATTATTAGTAATGGCAGTAAAACAGAAATTCGGAATAATTAATATTGTTTCGTTTTATTCCATTATACTTCAGTAGTAAAGAGGTTAAGTACATTTGAACATCGCCTAAAATAATTCCATGCTTCATAATAACTTCACCTTTATCAGTTTATTTTGATAAAGTCAAGTGATACAATTATTGAATTAAATACTAAATTGGTGTTATATACAGGGTTTTCCCTAAGCGCTTTTAGAAGGGTAGTCCGCCCTGCTTGCCCTTTTTATCCCTATAAATGCGTCTTTTTTGTAAAAATAAGACTCGTTCAAAAACACTGCCTTTTTAATCGCATTTCCTTTTTCAAACAATTAATGCATTGTTTAAATAATAATTACACACTGGTAAAATTATCTGTGGTTATAGGTTTAATTCTGATTACTAGAATAGAAATAGATCTCAATTTTTGGAAGAAAACTTCAAAACAATTAATTTTCCAATTTTCGAATTTTTTAGAAAAATTGAAGAAAAAAGTCTAATAGAAACCCTCTTAATTGCAGTGGCCAGGGTTGGGTTTTTGACGTCAAAAAGTGGTTTTTGACATGACAAGGGTATAATACTGGTTTAAACCGTCAAAAATGTCAAAAACTGAAGTTTGCCAAGAAAATATATAAACTTCAAAACTACCAACAGTTGCCATGCATTATATTGAAATTTAATTATACTATAGGTAATCAGCAGGTTTTAAAATATTTTTTAATTAAAATTAAGGTAAAATAACAGATTTAAAATCTCAGAAATTTATATTCAAATGCATGTGCAGAAAAATTTTGCACAAAAATTGTTTAAATATTTATATTTAAAATTTTTTTTTTTTTTTTTTGATACTTAAGAAAATTAAAAGTTTATTACTATGCATTTTTGACATATAAGGAACATATAACTAATATTTATAAGGAACTTACAAGTTATGTTGTATAAATACAAACTTGATACAAGATACAAGTGTATAAAAAAAAATTTTTAATGTTATACCGAATATCTTTATTATCCAGTATGTTAATTTGAATTTAAAAGTAGTTATATTTATGAATAATGATAAATATAATTCATATTGTTTATTATATTTATTTATAATTATTACACTTATCATTTTAAAACAATTTTTATCTCTTAATTTTTTTTTCTCCACTTGTATTAAGAATACAAATAATGCATATCTTGAAAGCAAGAAGTAATTATTCAACAGCTGAATATTTAGATATTCAACAAAACTATATCGTATTCAGCAAAATGAAATTCACAAGTATTTGGATAAACTAAATTTTCAGCATAGTAAATGAATAGGCTGAATATACTGTAAATCGACACTAACTACTCTGTGTATTTAACAGAAAGCACTTAAATTTGTATTGTCTTATGTTAAAAAGATTATTAAGAAGATTTAAAAGAATATTAAAAAGATTTTTCTTTAAAAGATGTCTAATGTACAAAACTGCTAATGTTTATCTTTAAAAATGTCTAATTTTTAGTATAATCTATACTATACACTAAATTTGGTTATAAATAAATTTCTTAATAATATCACTGCAGATTTTCAATAACACATGAAAATGAATACATAATATTACAAAAGATGTGAGCTTTCAAAAGTACAAGATTTTGGTTACTATTCAAAATATAAGTGTTTCTTCAAAATTTTAAATTTATTTTTTCTAGAACATATTTAGAAACACTATCCTTTATAAAAAATATATAAATTTTATGTATTAATTAAATTTCACATATGAATATAGGTTTTTGACATTTTCGACATTTTTGACAGTGAGGTTTTTGACGTGACGGTTTAAACCATGGTTTAAACTGTCAAAAACTGTCACATGTCAAAAACCTGCCAACCCTGGCAGTGGCATAATAAAAAGGTCTAAAAAAGTGGAAAATTTTTGAGAAAAAAAAAAGAAAAAAAAAAGCTAGATAGAAACCAAAATAAAAAATGTTCTAAATTTTTAAACGAAAGATTTAACGAAAAAAAAATTTAATTTTAACTTTTTTACATCCCTGAATTTTAGAAAAAAGTTACCATAAAAGAGTAACGTTCATTAGAAACGCTCTTTAAAAATTGCTGTCATAATAAAAACGATAATAGAAAAAATACTAAAAATGAAAAGTAAAACAGGAAAAAATCGTTACTTGGCTCGTAAATATAACTTTAACGTTGAGAATATCAGTTTTCTATGTTACCAGTTATCTATCCAACCGTGCAAGAAATAAAAGAATTAAGTCAATTAGAAAGGCTCCGCTAATATGTTTCGCTTTAGTTAAAACAGAAAAACAAGCATAAACAAAAAAAAAATCTCTATTTCTTAAACTATGTGTTGAAAAACCAATGAAATTGACTTGCTTGAATATAAGTTTAAAAAAAATCAGCATTACAAAACTGATGGTTCAGTATAAAGTAATCTAGTTTCAATTCAAATTTCACTTTTCTATGTGCCTTTCAGAACATAAATTGAAAAGTTTTAGACTAAACTATTTCTTATAATATATAGTATAAAATATGATTTTAGATTCTTATTTATTAAATCACAATACTTCAAAATAAAATTTCCACACAGAAAAAAACTTTGGTGAAAAATAATTTCCCAAATAATATTTTGCCTAATATTTGGCAAAAATGGGGGAAATCGAATTGTGGACGAGTATTCATTACATACTTAAGATACATATTGTTTTCACACATTTTTCTTAATGAATTCTTTTAATTTTCAATTAGTAAATGCACAATCCTAGATCTCAAAATGCAAAGGTTAGTAAAATGTTTTTGTAAGATGATGGACGTACAACTAGCACTAGGTGATAAATCGAAAAATATCAATGTTATGCAATCATCGGCATATTTTTTGGATATCGAAAATTGAGATCTAATGAGATGAGTCCGATGACTATCGATGAATCTTCAACATCAATGATTTCAAGCGTGTGCAAAGAGCACTTCTCTTGAATGTGACATCAATGGCCGCAAGTTTGTGCAAAGAGCATTTTCCTTTGATCATAAACGAACAGTGAGAGTTGCACTGATGATCGTTGTCTTTCCAGTGTTTTGACTAATGTTGCTGACAGTAATCTGATAAATGTTTTTTTTAAGTAAATACATGTTATACAACCTCTAAAACAACAGTATAGTTATAATTATGACTAAATTAAAAATATTTAATATTGAAATAACTGATCTTCGAAACCTTGAATTTTTGATATCACAAAATATTTACTATCTCTCCTATAATTTTATCAACGTTTTCTTACACACATAAAATAAATAAAAAGTTAATAGCAACTCAGCATTTTTAGCAGTAGCAAATAGGAGAACAAAAATACATATAAATCTTTTAAAATGAATTTAATCCTCCTAAAAATAGTTGCAAGTGGGGGACGACCCCTGTAATATAAATGAAAATAAATAACATTTAGAATACGGTTTTCTTTTTTAATAAGAGAGCATCTGTAAACATAAAATACGCGGATATGTGGAAGCAATCATAAAATTATGTTATGAAGAAGGAATCGGATTGATAGTAACAGTTATAAAAATATTATATACGACAATTTCAAATAAATAACTAATAATTTTTTTTTAAATATGGAGAACTCAAACTTACATGTTTTATCAGGAGACGTCTTCTCGCCGGGAGGATCAGTGTTTTCTTCATTGTCATCATTAGCTTTTTTTGTTGAAGTTCGCTTTGCTTTTCCTCCTCGACGACCTCTTCCCCGTCCTTTACCTTTCAGTTTCAATGAAATATTTTTACGCACTCCCTGTGTTTGAGCTGATCCAACATTTGTGTCTGAATATTCTAAATCATCAGCTACGATATAATGTAAACAATGATAAAGCACAGAGAAACAGTGGGCATTTTTAAGAATAATAAATGAAAGACAAATAAATATGAAAAATAATAGAATGTTATTAAACAACTTATTCGCCAAAATTTTTCATACAGCATGGGAATTTAATTACGAAAGATTCTTTAAAAATTACAGTACACATTTTACTCATACTTACTTTCATCCGCCATCTTTCCTTTTAAAATATTTATATATTACAGTTGGCGGTTACGTATAAAATTTCACAATTGAGTTTGCTGTGAACTAATTATTCGTGCGATTCACTCAGAAACCTGAAATCACTAAAAATATTTTATTTTTAAAAACGAAAAAAAGAGAAACTCTCCTTAAGCGAATAAATTTCTTTAAAATCAAATTGCAGGTAAAGAATTATCACAAGCCATCAAATTTTTCACGTTTGTTCCGCATCTACAGTTTGCACTCAATTTTCAGTTTTCGGTTTAAAATTTATAAGAGCATACTTGTAGTTCCAACTCGTTCAGTTTTATTAGTTTTTTTCAGTGCAAATAACGTACAACTTAAAATTTCTTCTGCTAGTACCTAATAGCTGTTTACATTTTTTTCTTCTTTTCTTAACATCATGAAATCATGGAAGTAAGTTTGAATAATTTGAATTTTCGTTTCATAACATTTTAAAAGTAAAGTATTATATTTATTTATAACTTTTAAAAAACTGTCATATTATACTTTCTCTTGCATCACTCATTTTTCTCTTATTATAATGTATTGTATATCCTCGTATTTGATTATAATAATGAATAGCTTTTCAGCCTAATGATTAGTAACGGTTTTTATTTTGTGTCCTATTTTAATTTTTAACTACTTTCTTATAAATTGAATCAATATTTTAATTGTTGTTGTGCTAGTGCTAATAAATAGAGACAAGTGAGTTGATTAAACTCCGTTTCGTATGCAATTTTCAAGAATGAAGAGTCAAATAAATAAAAAAAGAAAAAAAAAACAAATCATATTTTACAAAGAACAAAATTTCTGCTTCGCCATATTAAAGTTTACAATGTTTCGGGGTTTACAATTGTGTATACTTTTCATTTTGGTAATTTTCTTTTCATTTTGGTAATTTTTTTTTTCTTGCAGAAAACAGAAAAAATAACTTAAAATTGGGTTTTTTTTTTCTGTGACTCTGCTACATTGTGAAAAGTAAAGGTCCTTAGGTCTCAGTTTCCAAATTCCTATTTTATAAAAGCGAGTTTCACTTTAAAACATGAATTCTCCACCTTTTCATTCATGTATTAATGTATACATTTATTATTATTCTATTAATTGGGGGACAAAACAAACAATTTGAATTCAGGTCAATATTTGAACAATCACGGGGGATATTTCCATATCCTGATCTGTCGCGCCAACTACAATTGCCAAGGCGCCAAAAGATTTTTTAAAAAAAAGGGACATATAGATGATGTTTTTTTTGGTTTCACGTGGGCCACTGCCCGGAAGTTTCCAAGACTTGGTGACTATTCTGCCACAGAACACAATACGGAAATCTCCCGCAATCAAGCTTAAAACTTAACTAATAATTAGCATTGTGGAAAAGTGGCGATATTTTAATAAGTAACTTAGTAACGAAGAATTTAGTGTACATATATATTTAAAATTTAGGAAATATCTTACATCAATAATTCTGCTGCCATTGTCATTTTTTTTCGCGTTATAAAATTACTCTTCCCAGTGGGCCTGTTACAGCTTATTTTTTGCATTCTACACTGTAACCCTTTGAAATTTCAAAGTGCAATTCAATTTTACAGTCTTTTTTTAATACTGTCTTTTTTTGAAGCATTTTTATACTTTGCGTGTTTCATTCATTTACTCTATTGGTTGAAGATCAATGATAATGTAACATTCGCTTCCTTCAACACCAATTAAACAACTCAGCATCCTTGCAAGTTAACTTTATAGGAAAAAAATCTGTAACCATGTATTTATTTAATTAAGTTAAAATAATCTTAGTATTTCATAATTTTAATCACAAATAACCAAACATGTTTTTTTTTTTTTACTTGCTTAAATTATTTTTGCAAGTAAAAAAAAAAATTATAAATGCAATTTAAAATCGTGTATTTCCACATTGGTACTCATGTCAAAATATTTACCAAATTTTTACAATTTCTGTTCAGTTACATGAGAAAGACCAAAAAATAAATGAATACATAAACAAAATAATAATAATAATAGAATAAGCAAGCTTGCAACCAGTCCAATTTTTGAGGGGAACAAGAATAAATTACACAGCCACAATAGTTTTCAAAATTTCGCTCATCAAAAAAAAATTTTTTAATGTACCAAATACCTGTTGAGCGATTAATTATTTTTATCTCATTCTTGTTTTTAACTTTAAGAAATTAAAATTGATGATAATTTGCAAAATTTTTCTTTATTTGCATGGAATATTGAGAAGGACTTTAGAGGTTTTTAATTATTAGGGAGGGGGATAAACCAACCTTTTCTGCAAGCAAGTACCGATATGAAAATATCTCCAAAAAGTTTTTAATGACTATTTTTATTATAGTAAAGTATTATTTGACATAATTGTATATTAGGAGATTAAGCAAGGCATGTTTTTGAAAGTTCAACTATTCGGAAAAAAATATTATTTCCATTTTCCATTGATGTCATTGATTTTGGCTAATACACAACAGTCAAGATTTAACATAATCAAGTAATTTTTATGATGATTTAACACTTTAGTATGTATCTTAATTTTTTAAAAATCCAATTTACATTTATAGTTAACCGTTATATTTAAGTGCGAGCAAAAAACTCCGAATGCTACTCATTTTTGTTAAAAGGAAGAAAAATCTACACAAAATTCTTTCTTTTATAATTTTAGGTAAAAAAAAACTTCCGAAGCAAAGCCATGTTAATTCATTATTTATTATTTTTTTTATTAAAGTATTGCTTTGATCTTATTTAGTAACTTTTTTGTATTTTTAGGGTAAATAGCTATAAAACTGAGAATTAAAAGGATTCATTTGACCATGACAAGGACATTGTTTTTATCTAGTAAGTATTAATTTGTATAATACCTATACTTATTTCTAAATCTTTATTTAAAAAAATTTGGGAATGCTCAGTCTGGTCGAGTGAAATGAATTATGTTTTATATTTTCGGGGCCGGGATAGCCTGGTCGGTAAGGCGCTGGGCCCATGTCCAAGAGTTTGTGGGTTCGAACCCCGTCGCCCGAAGACTCCCCGTGTAGTAAAGTGACTGATGCACGTTAAATCTGTCGAGTCGCAAAAGTCCTCCATCTCCCCATAACAAATTAAAACCTCTGGGGGTACTGAATTGGGGATCGATCGTTCTCTGATTCAGGTCAAAATTACGATCTGTGGGTGAATGAATGGGTCCGTCCTATAAACGGGTGCGACGTATGGTGTGGCAGAAGTCGAATTCTTGACCATAGATGGCGCCACTGAAAAAAAGAAACGCACACTCTGTCTTAAATTTGCTAGGTTTCACCAAGCAGGCTTGCTAATACGGCAAGTAGCATTAGAAACAACAAAAAAATTTCATATTAAATTCTTTTTAGGGCATTCTTCAAATAGAAGATAAAGAAGAAGTGTCCCAGCTTTAAAATAGACTATTTAGCTTTAATAAAGGAAAATTTAAAAAGGTGCCAATTTAAATTTTTTTTATTAGAGCTTATGATGAATTTTTAATAAATATTTTAATTTAAACATACTCAATTTCATATATTTTTGTGGCCTCAAACATAAAGTAGCTTTTTAATTATTGAATTACAATTTTATTGGAGAGTTCTAAGTCCATCGACATTTACGATGAGCTGATCATCAGCGATTTTTCTGTATCATAACATGTAAAAAAGGTTTCTGTCTAGATAGACAAATAGCATAAATCATTCATAGGTATCTTTTAGTTATACTTTATAATCGCAAACCTTGAAACATGAGGCTTATTGTTACTTAGAATTTAATGTTATGTAGATCATTTCTCATATCATTAAACTTAGCTACTGAGCATGGTAATGTATGGTTACAGATTGATATTAATGCTTAAAAATAATTTTTAAATCAAAATACTTTAAAACTCAAAAATATGTACTACATTTATTTGTTTTCTGCAAAATATTGATTGTGGAGAAAATTTTGTCTCTTGAAGTGATAAAGTGGCTAAATTTATCATGCTTTTATTGCATTCTTATTTTTTGTTGAGTCTTAGTCTTAATTACTATGTAAATTTTGTAATGTAGCATTATAAATAAAGAAAAAATAAAATTAATTATATCACTTCACTTTTTTCAGCTTCAATTTTTTTCTGTTCTCTGGCATTTTCATTAAGCCATGCCTACAGAAATATAAATAGCAATGCAGATGATACCAGTTCTTCCTTGCAGATTCAACCAATGGTGAGTGCTACTTTTCACTATTGGCATGACATTTTGATAGATTTATATTAAATTGCCCACTACATTTAAAAAAAAAAAATCAACAAAATAATGGATTCTCCGAGTTTTTCAGCCTTTCTGAATAATGTCTCAAATTTAAATGAAGATTTTTCTTTTGTTACTTCGACTCCTGTTGCAAAAAAGAGACTAAAGAGAACTTATGATGACTTAGAACAGCTTAATCCCTGCAATATAACTTGTGAGTTCATGGATGGTGGAGATTTTTCTGAATATTTGAAACCACTGGATGAATCAAGTGAAAAAGTGGAAGAAAATAAAGAGGTAGAACCCATCAATGTTATACAAAATAGTTCCTGTCCATTGTTTCCTGATGATTCATTGACACTAAAAGAAAAAGAGGATCTGAACAATTCAAATACATTTTTTCTTTCACAGTCTAAATTTCCAAAAGGACTCCCACAGACTTCAGTTCTCTCTAGTTCTAGAAATTACCCTACTTCTAGTGAAAGTATATCTTCTCGTATTATTCAGAAATTAAAACACAATGTTTCTTCTAGTCCTAAGTCACCATTTTCAAGACAATTAAAACGAACTAGTCTTTTATTTGCTTTAAATGAAGCTCAAAAGTTACATGAACAGCTTTCACAGACATCTGTTGGACCCTTTTTTGGTTTGCCATCGAAAATGATATCTCTACTAAAGTCTCACAAAGGTATTGAAGAATTGTATACTTGGCAAAATGAATGTTTGATGTTGCCAGCTGTAAAACAGAAAAGAAATCTTATTTATTCTTTACCTACTAGTGGAGGTAAAACTTTAGTTGCTGAAATTCTTATTATTAGAGAATTATTATGCTACTTCAAAGATGCTATTTTAGTTTTGCCTTATATATCACTAGTTCAAGAGAAAGTTCGTGGCTTAGCACCATTTGCAGTAGATTTGGATTTTGTGATTGAAGAATGTGCTGGTATTAAAGGGACTATTCCACCTCGAAGACGCCGAAAAAGACACACTCTGTATATTTGCACAATAGAGAAAGCTCATTCCCTTGTTAACTCAATGATTGAGGACAAGCGAATGGGTGAAATTGGTCTTGTAGTTGTTGATGAGCTTCATATGATTGGAGAGAAAGGTGGTCGAGGAGCTGTGCTCGAAAGTTTGTTAACTAAAGTTCTTTTCACTTCTAAGACTACACAAATAATTGGAATGAGCGCTACGCTCAGCAACATGTCCGATCTCCAATCTTTCCTCAATGCTGATATTTATGAAAAAGATTTTAGACCTATTGAATTGAAGGAATTTGTCAAAATTGGCAATGAACTGTATGAAATGGTTGACAAACGAGCTGAGGAATGGCGCCTGGCTCGTACATTAGATTTTGGATATTCAAAGGAAATGTTGTGCCGTGATCCAGATATGGTAACTGGTTTAATAATGGAAGTTATACCAAAAAATTCCTGTTTGGTATTTTGCCCCACAAAAAAACATTGTGAAAATGTAGCTAGGACCATTTGTCAACTAATGCCGGATCACATGACTGATCACAAAAAAGAAGAGAGGGAAGCTCTAATAAAAACATTGATTGAAGATGGCAATGGAAATATTTGTGATATCTTAAAACTATGTTTAAAATATGGGGTTGCTTATCATCACAGTGGACTTACAATGGATGAACGTAAATTAATTGAAGAATCTTATCTTAATGGAACACTTTGCTGTTTAACTTGCACTTCAACATTAGCTGCTGGTGTGAATTTACCTGCTAAAAGAGTTATTCTTCGAGCTCCTTATGTGGGTTCTGAGTTTATCACTTATAGTCGGTATAAACAAATGATAGGCAGAGCTGGAAGGGCAGGAATTGATAGTTCAGGTGAAAGTATATTAATTATTAAACCTTGTGATAAGCTGAATGTTGGTAAACTTCTAACATCTGATATGGATCTGTGTCAAAGTAATTACATTACTGAACCTCAACTTTTAGACATACTTCTATTGAGTTTAGTAGGTTTAAATATTGCCACAACTGTAAAAGAAGTTTATTCTTTTATGGGTCATACCTTAGCATCAATTCAAAACAAAAAAGTTGGCTGTACCCCTAGTACAATTTTTGAAGAGAACATGCAAAACTTATGTGAACATGGGATGTTGCTATGTAAGGAGGATAATGCAGGGGAGAAAAAATTTTGTATTACTGATTTGGGGAAAGCTTCTTTTCGTGGAGGTGTGAATGTTTCAACAATGGAAGAGTTTGTAAAGAGACTGCGTGGGGGATTAAATGGTTTGGCTTTGCATTCCCATTTGCATTTATTATATCTTGTGACGCCTGCAGAATACTCATCATCAATAACCTTTGCCCCTGATATATTTTTTCAAAAGTATTCTAAATTAAGTGCTGTAGATATTGTTGCTGCTGAACAAATTGGCATAACAGAACGGATGGTTATGCTTATGGCTAGTGGACGCTCATTAGGCAAAAAACAAACTGTTATGCATCATTTTTATATTACTTTAATCTTGTATGATTTGTGGAATCAAGAGACTATATGGTCAGTGTCCCAAAAATACCAGGTGCATCGTGGTGTTATTCAAAATTTGCTCAATAGCACTACTGCCTTAGCTGGTACATTGAGTAATTTTTGTAAAGAGCTTAAAGAATTTTGGGCTTACCAACAATTGTTGCCAGATTTTGTTAAAATGTTATCTTACTGTGTCACAATGGAGTTGATACCTCTCATGGAGCTGCCGGCTGTCAAGCGTGGAAGAGCTAAGCAACTGTATGTGGCTGGTTTTAAAACGCTGGCAGATGTGGCTAGAGCTCATCCTAGAGACTTAGTTGACAAATTGATGCACATGAATTATAAAACTGCTAATCAAATTATTTCTGCTGCCAAAATGATTATTATGGAGAAAGCTGAAGCTTTGCAAGAAGAGGCTGAGAACCTAATGGAAGAGTTTGATAAAAACTTCTCATTACTAACAGAAGTTAGTTAGGTGCCATAACACATATATTTTGTTATTTTTTGAAAATCCATTTAATGAAACTTTGTTATCTGAGTTATAAGAGAATTCATATTTTTCATGAAATCTTCTGCTACTAATCATAAACAAGTTAAAGTTTTTTGCATATTGTATCTAGAATTCATTCCAAAGATTTATGTGCTATGATTAAGGCCATCACTTTTATAATTAGGATGGAAATTGTATCTGCTGCTAAAATAATTATTGTGAAGAAAAGAAAAGCTTAAACAGTAAAAGAAAAATTCACTAAAGCTTACTATCAAAACTTAGCAACAAAAAAAGCAGTGCTTTATTTTGTTTTATACTTAAATGTTTTGAATTCGTTTGATAAAGTATTTTTCCAAGAAAATTTGTTATGTTTCAAAATTTTCATTTTATTTTCAAAATTATATGTTGATTAGGTTTATAATCTACAAAAATGTAGCTCTTTATTTTAAATCTTCTTTGCCAGTTCCTTACTTCACTATTAATGAAAAGTTTAGAATTGCAAACGTTACTAATAACTTGGAGAAACAATATTTTATTGGTTATCAGAAAAATTATTTTAAGCTTTAGAAAAGCTATAATTTTGAAAATAGAATGTTACTTATTTTGAGTTAGAAAATGGTTGTTAGTTCCATGTTGTTTGAGTTATGTATATAAAATTTCTGATTTTGAGGAAATATAATTGTTTATAGTTTTATTTTGCAAGTAAAAACTAATGTGACAAAAAAAAATTTAAAATTAAAAAAAAAAGTTCATATTTGATATGATATTGTAGTTATTCACTTTGTCTTCCTCCGCAGAAGTTCAATTTTAAAGATTAAGTTATGATTTTTATTTCAGTTAGCAGTTTAAGCATTCCTTTATTACTATAGCAATGGATAACATTGCTCATTTTGTTGAATTATTGTATAAGGGAAGTCTCCATTTTTTGCATGTAACAAAATTATTAATAGGTTAAGATTTATATTTTTCATTTCAAAAAATATATTTAATTTATTATAGAACATATTGTTGTAAAATTTGATTTGTTTAGTTCTTATTTGGCTCTGAAATTTTTTTTTGTAATTGAGGTTTCTTATAAAAATAAAAGTGAGAAGAAAGATGCCATGGCAAGCCAATTATTACATCCGAGATGCTCACCCATTTTTAGATAGCTGCCACAATATATTAAAAATTACAAAATTGAGAGTCAATTTTAACAAAAATCTATAATCATACATCTGAAGGATGAATTTTATTTTTATTTGAAAATACTATGGCTATAACGTAATTTTTTTAAAATTAAATAAATAATAAAATAAAAATTAAAATAATGTAATAAAAATAATTTGATGTAATCAAATTATAACAATGAATATTAAGAGTATTAAGTCAACTATGACAAAAATCAATAATCATACATCTGACAGATGAATTTCATTTTTATTTGAAAATACTATGGCTATAACGTAATTTTTTTAAAATTAAATAAATAATAAAATAAAAATTAAAATAATGTAATAAAAATAATTTAATGTAATCAAATTATAACAATGAATATTAAGACTACTGAGTCAACTATAACAAAAATCAATAATCATACATATGAAGGATGAATTTCATTTTTATTTGAAAGTACTATGTCTGAAATGTAATTCTTTTTACTCAAGTATATTTAATAAAAATTATAAAAATGTAATAAAAATTATTCTATGTAAACAAATTATAACAATGAATATATCGGTATACAGGAGGGGGGAATGGGAAATAAGAATTTTCACTAATTCTAACTTGTTCACTAATTTGCCACAGAGCACAATAGATTTCCTTTTTTTTTTTTTTTTTTTTTTTTTTTTAAGNTTTTTTTTTTTTTTTTTTTCTTTACTTATTCTCACATATTTACATCTAGTAATGTAGGACAATTAAGGGGTCACTTTTGATCCATGAGTTGTAACTCATGCATTATTATACTACAGTAACAGAAAACAACCAGGGGTTTGTCTAGATTTTTCTGAGAGGTACCTATTTTGTGAAAATTTAGACATAATTTGTGAAAAATTAAAATTTATAGTAAAAAATCAACACAAAAAATGTAGTAAAAGTATGGATTTGTCATTTCTTACGGGATGCAAAAATAAAAATTTAAGAAAAAGTATTTTGTGAAATTTTCCTAAAGTTGAATTTGAGAAGGTACCGCTAAACGGTAGTAAATTTGGTCTGGACGGACACCTGACAACAGATTATATTATGAATTATATTTTAATGAAGAAAAACCAAGAAAAATGTATACTTAAAAAAAGAAGAAATAAATTACTTAACTATAACTTATTCGTTAAATTGAATTTTGGACTGTTTAAATACTAGGAATGGTTTACTCATTTTTCATTATAGAATGTATTTGTTAAAGACTAGAATTTCAATTTCTCAAAAGAAATTTATTGACTGTATTGTTCTGTAATATCTGTCATTCATATAATTTTCTGGTGTTATGTTTGTTTATCTTTTATGTTAAAATATATCTAAATCAATATTGTTTTTACAAATTAAAAAATAAAAAAAGAATGATGAATGCTATAAATTTTATTATTTATGTAGTTTTGCATCACTTTTTTAAAAATTCGGCATGTCGTGAAGAAGAATTGGTTTTCCAGTGCATTTGTAGAAATTGTTAAAACATCAAAAAAAAAAAAAAAAAAAAAAAAAAAAATGAAAATTCTCTGAAATGTATGATATGAGGTTTTTAAATAAAAAGACTTTCATCCGTCTTTGAAATTTTTCTACGAAAAAAAAATATATGTAACGTTTCATAACAATACAATAAATGAAGTTCTTTAAAATAAAATCAAAATTGAGAAATGTTAAAATCATTGTATATAACACACTCAGTTTTAATATCTACATTTTTAAGTAATGTGTAGTTTAAAGTTGAGACCCTTAGGTATTATTATGGGATATATTGGAATGGGTACTATTTGCTATGTTTTACTTTAATATGAATTTTAACTCTCAATATCATTTTGAAACACAGTTTGTGATATCTTGATTTTGTATTTAAATTAAAAAATCTGATTTGTTTTATTGAAATCAGAATTTTTCATTGAAATTGGACGATTTAATTAATTTGTAATATGCATTAAGAACTTAAGCTTATAATCAGTTAAATTTAAATTTTTTAAATCTAATTATACAATATTTTTGTTTTTCAGTTCTTATTCAGTAACAGCATTAAAAATCATTTCCATAAATCATGGAAATGTGTGATTCAAAATTATTACTTATGGAAGAAAAATATGTATCGTTACTAACTGTAGGAAAACAGGTTAAACTGAACAAATCACAAAATTTATTTCACATGTTATTTTTTTTCAAACCTTTTAAGTAACAAAATAAATTGTATTGTCTTTTACCTTGCTTCAATTGCACTTTGACAAATATTTCTATATAGAATAACTTCATTAATTTATTAAAAAAATATAGGTAATCTGAATTTAACTTTAAACAGTTTTTTTATACCCAAGAAAAATGTGAATCAGAAAGATTTTTTCTACATTAAAATAATTGCAGGGTTCGTAGTAATCCTGATTTTTCCTGGTGAAAAATATTTTATCCTTCATTGTCCTGAGATTCCTAATTTCTGTATGTCTAAAGAACATGTTTCAATAAATATAAATGCGGATTTTAAAGCAATCGATTTAAAGAAGCAAATTTGTATTTTCAATGCCATTTTATTTTAAGAAATCATGTTGATAAAAATGCCAAAATTCGATAGTTCAAACTTGAAGACCATCCACATGTCCTTATCCACAGGTTTCATTTTCAAACTTATTTCGCAATTTCGTCATCTTGTGAAAAAGTAAACTTGTTACAATTTTAAGTTATCGAATTTTTATGATGAATTCTGGGGTCGAACGCGTATTTATTATTTTCAGCAAATGCAGTAATAAATCTCTTGGAATGGAATTCTGTACTTTCAAAATTATTGATTCATGTCTTTCATCTGATTTTAAAAAAGATCGATTCTAATCAGCAATACCGTTATCACATCGTAGAAATTTTGAACACTGAGTTTAAGAACCATCCACTAAAATACTTCTATACTTACATGCTAAGAGGCACAGAATGTTTACTATGTTTTAATTAGGAATTATTGAAACCCAACTTTGAAATTATTTGGTTTAGAAACTCTTGAACTTGATTACTAAATTAGATAAATCTTGGAATGAGGGAATATTAACTAATTTATTTAATATCTGTTCCTTTTTAAGGTGACAGTATTATAAATATTTTCTATATTTAATGTGCTCAAATTATTATGAATTGTTCAGTGTTCCAATTATAAAAATGTGAGAGAAAAAAAAACTTTATATTTTAAGCTAAGTAATTCTGAAGAAATTAATAATAAATATTTTAATAATTTTTTGTGATAAAATTTGACTTTATGTACTTAAAGTAGAGCAAATTATTATTTTTTTCCTCAGTTTCTCGTTTTTTTTTTTTTATTTTTTTTTAAAACATATTTTTTCTTTTTATTATAACCATTGTTGAACAGCAAACCCAATTTTTGGGTTTCCGACTACTAGTGTTCAACTGCGTATCCTGGGTAATTTTGAAGCCAATCCAGAAGACAAGGGAACTCCTTGTACTCCTTGTCCTCCAAGGTCAAGTACTGGGACAAACTTTGCTTTCATGGAGGACTTTTTGATGGAGCTAACCGCATTTGCGTTACATGGAAAGGAAGATCACGAGAACCTCCCACGATTAGCCAGACGGCAAGGGGACTCTAACTCATTATCCGTCTACCACTGAGGATATTTTACGTCAGCATTCTGGTTGGTGCAAGCCGGATGCGGAATTCGTATCTACCAACCATCGCTGGGATTCGAACCCGGATCCCTCATTGGAAGGTGAACGCTCTATCCTCTGAGCCATCGCGGCTCAAAAAATATATCTGTAGCCAGATGACGGCTACAGATATATTTTTTGACGACTACAAAACGGTATATCCGCTTTTACTTACCAGGTTTTGAACATGAGACCTACCGCATGTCAGGCGGATGTGATAACCACTACACCATAGGATGTGAACCACTACACAACCTCGTTTTTTTAATTTTTTTTATTTTTATATAGTCTTTGTTATGTCTTCAGCTAAATATAAAACAAAACAAAAAAATTTTTTTTTTTCTTTAGCGCGCTACAAAGCAAAGTTGGTAGGATTTTTATTACCATTTATCATCATGTTTTTGAAGGGAAAAAATTCGTATTCTATAACTACATTTTACTATTTATAAAAGAAACTGCATTAAAATATCCCTTTGTTCTTAGTTTGCATTCTGAAAAAAATAACAAATTCTTTCTTTTTTCAATTTAGTAAATTTAAATCAACGAAGCCTTCTTAAAAACTCCATGATCCAATGACTAGGGGGAGAAATAAAATAAACGCTTGATTTATTTATTTATTTATTTTTTTAATGTTTGTCTATGTCTCCAGAATTACATACGTCTATGTACTCTCCAAAATTACGTAATATCATAAATATCTTATGATGTACAGTAGATTTGAGCTCAGATATTCTATAATTTATTTTTTAATATTAAAAACATTTATTTGTTTGAAAATATTGCCTCGCAGAATAAGCCGTAGTAAGCAGTTGTATACTTTTTAACCCGAGGTAGAGCAGGTCAAAAGCTAAAGATTGTTTTACATTTATATTAAAAACTCCGTCCATTAAAAAAAAATATATGTCGCACTTTTAAAGTACTCGAAGATTCTGAACAAATTAAAACACATTGTATATTGTGAAATAATGCTAGAAATAACGGTACCGTAGAACCTCTTCTATCTGACTTTCCGCCTCACTAAATTAAAAATTACTTGATGAGATTGCTTATCTCTTTAATCGATTTTTTTAAAATAATTATTGTGATTCTCCCTAATTGTCATTAACGCTAATCGTGTGCGATTCTTATATTATGGCGTGTGACTCAAAGAACGCGTAGGAAAGTCAGGCAAAGCATGATGGGCATAGCCTCATAAAACTGTTTCGTTTTCACTGTAAACTTTGCCTCCTAAATCTTTATGGATGGTGTTTTCTACACTAGGGAACGCTGCAAGCTCCATACCGCCTATACTTCCGGGTTACTGTTTCCGGTGTATTTTCACAACGTGATCATTGTGTTTTGGGATTCTTGCAAACGTGGTATTTGATTACTTATAACTTGTGTTTACAATGCTAACAATAATTGTGTTTACAATGCTAAAGGTGCTAACACTAACGTAAGATGGCGCACAGCTTGCAACAAGAACAAACAGTAATAAACAAATGGAAAGAGGCCAAATCAGGACTGCCAAAAAAGCGAGTTATTCAAAATCTAGCAACCATGTCACTTTTTTTAACAATATATCTATAAATAACTCAAACAAATTTTCATTTCAAACTCACCAGAATTACTTAATAACATTAATATCTTATGAAATGCGGCAGATTTGAGCTCAGAAATTATCTAATTTACTTCTTTTATTGAAAACAAAATTATCCGTTTGAAAATAGCGCCTCGCAGAATAAGCTGTAGTAAACAGTTGCAAACTTTCTAACCGGAACTGCAGCAGGTATAGAGCTCGAGATTGTTATTGTTTACATTTATATTGAAAACACCATCCATAGCCGGAAAAATAGTTCAACCGGTTTTATTACATTATGAGTTTCTGTCTGAGGAAAAAGTGTTGATCCCTCATGCAGGTGGGGAAAACGATTTTTTTTTTCTTCCTGATAGTGAACGAAAGTGAGACAAATATAAACGTTTTGGCTTTAAGATTGGTTAGCTGTTAATTTTGCAACGTCCTAAAATGACAAAAATTACGCATTATCATTCCGATTTTTATGGATGGGTGATCGTGTAAAGCTAAGGGTGGTGGCGCTAGTGGTAAAATTGCTCTTTCGAGACTTCCGGGTTACTGCGTCCGATATATTTTTACGCCGCTGATTGAAAAAACGCGCCATCATATTATTGCATCATATCTTTTGCAGTATTTCACATGTACCGAGTTCTTTCTTTCAGCCTTTAAACTTCAGCATTATCATATTAATATTATAATCATTAGAATATTTTCTAATTAGGCTAACTTAAAAAGATATTTTTGGCGACATTTTATTCAAATGTAGCCAAATAAGGGATAAAATACGAAACATGGCAAACCTTAAGAATTATTCACAATGAGATATTAACTTTCCAAAATTTTTTTTGGCCTTACGACCTCTGAGAATCAATACATTTCTGAAAGCTCTTATGAATGGTACAATTATGTTTAGATTTGAACCCAAATTACAATAACAAAACTGCATAGAAAATTAGGCTTGTTCACACATCGCCTCGTAGTCATAACATAAGCGGAGGGATACACCGGAAATTTTCTAAATTTCTTCCGGTTTAAGGACGCTTGTTATTGTTTACATTAGTCTCTATATACTTTATACTATTATAAATCTCTTCAGTATTGTGATTCGCAATATATGAATCGCTCGCATTAAAACGCGCTATAATAAGATTTATTCTATAATTGAATGCGTG